AAAATTACGAAACATTTAATTTACAATAGTAACAGTGAAGCAATTCAACTGAATCTAATTTTAAGATCTAATGGCGAGTGTCTTAAAAGCGCTTCTTCGCTACCGTCAAATAGGTTAAGCAACTGGAAGTTGGAAATGGATAGATATACAAATTTGAGAACAGGATGGATGTGATATGAAATAAAATATACCAAAATGACGTGAACTCACAACTGCTCCATAAAGATGAGTGTAATGGTGACACTTCCTATTTGACTGTTCAGTATCACGTCTATGGCTGGTCTAGCAAAGCGAAATACTTTTGAAAAGCGTTTGAAACATTGTATGTATTATGAAGGTACATTATAAAAGTTGTCAAAAGAGTTTATTGGTATGGATAATACAGGATATACAGTACAACACTAATCACATCAACAAAATCGTTAGATCTAGTAACTGCAAAAACTCCTAGCCATGTTAATATTGTTGAATTAAACGTGGGGGCTGTTTCTCTGGCAAACGGAACCTAGTCATCAAACAAAAGGCTATTTCAAATCACTATTCCCTTTTGCTACCTACATTGACCATAATGCTTCTTCATTCTAAACAAATTGTTGTTTGTCCAAAAAGAACTTACAAAAATTACTAATTATTTTATTTTTGAGCGTAATTTACAATTACTAAAACATCTGAGAATTCGAACAATTTACTTACTAGGAGCAAAGTTACCCTTATTTGTTTGTAACATTTATAAACGTCAACATGAATACAAATGTGTAGATACAAAATTCCTAAATTTACGTATAGAAAATTCAACTCAATGCAATATTTTGTCAACAACAATTCTAGGAAACTCATATCCTCCCACCTGAGTTGTAAGCAAACACATTAATCGTTTGACAAGAAGCACTAGGAGAGGATAAATACTAGGGACCTGCTTTTAAACATTCCACATAAATAGTTTCTTCTCTGTATTATGCACGTACAAAGACATTGATCTACGTAAAAATCAACAAATCGACCTTTCGGAATGCCACGGTTGCAACTAACATTTCAGTCGTTTTTAGTAAAATTATGCCAATTTTTCATCACTCGATCTACAGTTATGATGTTTACAGTAACTAATTGTCCACAGTTTGCAGAACGCATTTGTTCTACTTCTTGCAGCAGTCAGTAGCACCTAATCACATTAACAGCGTAACACATTAACATTTGTTATCTCATTAAGAGTTCAATTTGGTTAGTTAAGTCTTTGTCATTCCCGAGGGTCGAAATGCAGGGGAATGGGTGTGGGTGACGGTGACGGTGACGGTGACGGTGACGGTGACGGTGACGGTGACGGTGACGGTGAC